AGCCCCCTCCGATCATCAGCTCTGCCCCAGCCCCCTCCCATTGCCGGCTCCACTCCTGCCCACGCCTGAGGCCTCAGGCCTGGACAGGAGACCAGCCCCCTCCCATCACAGGCTCCGCCCCTGCCCCCTCCAATCGCCAGCTCCGCCCCTCAGCCCCCCTCCCTGCCTCCTCCGCCACCTGCCTGGCCAACAGGCCTGGACACTTCAGCTGCGGGGCTGAGGGGAATGAGCACCACCATCTTGTGGCTATGGGCGCTGCCATCTTTTGTGACGGAGTGACAGTTAATTTGCATATTACTCTTTTATTAGATAGGATGAGATAATGTCATCTGAAAATAGAGATAGTTTTACTTCTTCCGTTCCAATTTGGATGTCTTTTATTTCTTTTTCTTTCCTTATTATTCTGGCTAGAACTTCCCTTACAACCTTGAATAGAAGCAGTGAAGGCAAACATTGTTGTCTTGTTCTGATGTTAGGGGAAAAGATTTTATCTTCCACCACTGAGTATGACATTAGCTTTAGGTATTTTCTAAATGCCCTTTATTATGTTGTGGAAATTTATGTTGTTGGATTTTGTTGATTTTTTTTTCTGCAACTGAGATGGTCATATGGGTTTTTATTTTTAGTTCACTAATGTGGTGTTGATTAATCACTTTTCTTATGTTGAACCACCCACCATTGCATTCCTGTGATAATTCTACCTGGACATGGAATGGAATGTTTATACTATACTCTTGGATTCATTTTGCTATAATTCTTATGAGGATTTTGCATCCATATTAGTAAAGAATATTAGTCTGTAATTTTCTTTCTTGTGGTATATATATCAGGATTTGGTGTCAAGGTAATGCTAGCCTTGTAGGATAAGTTGGGAAGTTTTCTCTCCTTTTCTATCTTTTGGAAGAGTTTGGAAAAGATTGGCATTAGTCTTTCTTTAAATATTTTGTAGAGGAGAGATCCAAGATGGTGTCAGAGTAGGTGTACACTCACCTCCTCCAAAAACCAAACTGGAATTACAACTAAGATATAGAACAGTTAACCTGAGTAACCAACCAAAGACTAGCTGAACAGAAGTCTTATTACCAAGGATTTACAGAAAAAGCCACATCAAGACTGGTAGGAAGCGCAGATACTCGAAAAGGGCTGGCCCTGTTCTCATGGGGCAGGCCTGAGAATCTGGAGGGATATCTCAGCAGCAAATTTTCTCCCTGAGGAGTGAGAGGTCTCAACCCCACACTGGGCTTCTCAGCCCACAGCACCAGAGCCAGGAAAATATCCCACATAGCATCTGACTGTGAAAATCAGTGGGAATTCTAACTGCCAGGAATTGGCAGGAACCTGCTAGAAACCCAGGCACCCTCGTAAAAGGCCAACACACAAAAATCTCATCCACAACCACACACCCTGGGCTCTGGTGATGGGAGGGCAGAGCAGACTAGAGTCACATGGGGAGAGGCAGGAGTTTGTGGCTCTTGGGAGAGAGCTGAAGGAATAGCCACCAGGATCCCTGTGCTGAGTCCCTCTCCCATACCATAGAAGTCATCTTTCTTGAATGGAGTATTCCCTTACAGCATCAGCCTGGGAGAATGCACTAGCCCTACCCTCTGGACTCACTGTCACCTCACCCTGCAGAGCTCACACTCTGCTGAGGAATCAACTGCCTGGGAAGGGGTGTAGAGATCCAGGCAGGCTCAGACAGTGTCAGTTATTGAGTTTGGTGGCTCTGGAGACAGGGCCTTCCCCCAAGCCTGTCTGATGGTCCCCATCATGGGAGATCCACTGGCCCCACCCTCCCAACTCTCAGCAGCCCCGCCCAGCTGAGCTTGAACCCCTGGCAGAATCTGGAACACAATGAGTTGTGTGGCTCAAAGACAGGGGCCATTTTCCCCTCACACAACTGATTGGTATTGAGCCCTCCCTTCACAGGGCCAAATCTTGGCCCGTTTGGGCCTGATAAACTCGGCTGGCCTCACCCTGACAATTTTGTGAGACCCTACCCTTCCACAAAGTGTTGGGGTCCAACCCCAGCAGGTCCAGGGGTTCCCAAAGGTGTGGACGGAGTCGGGGAAGAAGGAATGACACGGAGGCAGTGTTCAGATCATCAGCATAGCCAGGTTCTCGCCAGGTTCTCCAGCCAGGTTCGGTCTTTATTGTCCTGTTACATCTGTACTTATACCAGTTGATTTTAATCCTATCCATTCTATTCCAAAGGTTAGGGCGTTTGTTATCTCCATCCCAAAGTCACTAGTCTATTGTTCTGTTGAGCTACAAGGAAGTAACTGAAGGAGATTATCCTAAGTGATTGTTCGTAGTTAAAGTAATTAATTACCTGCCTGGCACTTAGTTAAGGGGTTTTATTCCCTTCCTTAGTCCTGTTAATCCCTAACTCCAGGGAAAAAAATCCCCACCTGGGGAAACAACCTTTTTCGGAGAGGTGACCTTGGTTAAAACACATAGCACTAAGAAGGGGAGCAAACATATTAAGAACAGTATGCCATATAGGCCAGGTCCCTTGAAACGTATGCTGTGCAGATGTTTCTTCCTTGAAGCGACTGTGTCAAGCAGCAAGGATGGACCGGCTTCCGGCAACAAAGGTCAATGGGCACCTGGAGGATGGCAGCTAGACTTGGTATACCCTGGGACATTTGCTGAGTGGCCATAGACCCAGCACTGACACCAAGATTGAACCTGTATCAGTCTGGTGAACACTACCTTCCCCTACCTGGTGACTCACTGAGTCCCTTCCCCATGAAACTCTAGTACCACCAGAGACACTTTCAGTGACTGAGCCAAACAGGCTGCCAGGAGGTAGAGGCAGGCAGGGGCAGATCTCAGATGCCTTGGACCTTTTGCTGACCTGCCCCTGGTGGAAGCCAGCCTTGGTTTACAGCTTGGTCCTTCCTATGCACACCAAGGCCCATTAGAGACAGCCACAAACTGTACTTCCAAACAGGTTGCCCAAGGCCAGTCACAGGCAGCATCTGACATTGACCTGCACCAGAGTCCTCCCAAGAGCCCCCAGAACAAATACACCTGCTTCAAACAACATCAGAGCAGGATTGAATTAGCTGCACAAGTGGCACATCCAAAGGGAGATGTCGACAGGCACCAGGCCCTGCTGAGGCGAACCAGCACCCGCACAGCAGCTCATGCACTGTAGTCATGTTCAGTCTCCACAGTCAGCCAGTCTATGGGTTGACCCCATGCACAGACAGGCCAACAGCAATCAAGACTCAATTACAATAGGAAGGCTCACATAACCCATAGAAGGGACATTCCTGTAGCACCTTGCTTGGGTGATCAGGAAGATTGTGCTACTGAGCCTCATAGTCCACCGACCACATAAGGCCATCATAGCAAGACGGGGAAACACAACATATCTAACTAACACAGAAACAAGTACAGAGGCAGCCAAAAATGGGTAGACAAAGAAACATGCCCCAACAGTTATAATAAGACAAAGAAGGAAACTACATAATAATAAAGGGGTCAATTCAACAAGAGGATATAACCCTTGTAAACATTTATGCATCCAACATAGGAGCACCTAAATACATAAAGCAAATCTTGATGGACATAAAGGGAGATGCTGACAATAATACAATCATAGTATGGGACTTCAACAACCCATTGACATCAATGACTAGAGCTTCCAGACAGAAAATCAACAAGGAAACAACTGCCTTAAATGACACACTAGATCAGATGGATTTACTTGATATCTTCAAAGCATTTCACCACAAAGCAGCATATACATTCTTTTCAAAGTGCACATGGAACACTTTCCAGGATAGACCACATTTTAGGACACAAAACAAGTCTCAATAAATTTAAGAAGATTGAAATCGTAGCAACATCTTCTCTGACCATAACAGTATGAAACTAGAAATCAATCACAAGAAAAATATGAAAAACACAAACACCTGGAGGCTTAATAGCATGTTACTAAACAATGAATGGATTATCAATGAGATAAAGGAAGAAATCAAAAGATACCTTGAAACAAATGAAAATGGGAGCACAACAACCTAATATTTATGGGACGCAGTGAAAACATTCCTAAGAAGGAAATTCATAGCATTACAGGCTTACCTGAAAAAAACAGAAAATTTTCAAATACACATTCTAACTTAACACTTAAAGAAACTAAAAGAAACTAGAAAAAGAACAATCAAAATCCAAAGTGAGTAGAAGAAAAGAAAAAATAAGTATCAGAGCAGAAATAAACAAAATAGAGTCTAAAAAAATCAATGAAATCAAAAGTTGGTTCTTTGAAAAGATAAACAAGATTGATAAACCTTTTTATTTCTTAATCCTTGTCTGAGGATATTTTTCCATTGATTCTTGGAGAGAGTGGAAGAGACAGGGAAAGACAGAGAGAAACATTGATGTGAGAGAAATACATTGATTGGTTGCCTCCTGCATGAGCCACTACCAAGGCCCAGGCCGGGGAGGAGGTATGTGCCCTTGACCGTAATCTAACCCAGGACCCTTTGGTCCACAGGCCTACTATCTACCACTAAGCCAAACCAGCTAGGGCAAGATTGATAAACCTTTAATCAAGCTCATCAAAAAAGAGAGAGGATCCAATTTTTTAAAATTCTTCATAATACTATAACTCTGATGTGTGATTCAAGGTGGAGCAAAAGTAGGTTTATAGTTGAGTACACGAAACAGAGTTCATTCTTGTATTATTATTATTTATTAAGTATTGTATTATTTCCCATATGAACAACTGCTAACCTATTTTTGCCCCATCTTGTATAACAAACACATTGATTCCTATTTCAGTGTATTCAAGTAGATACAGAATGCCAGGTATTTTATGAGAGATGATTTTCAACTTTCTTTGCACTGTATACCATGTTTTAATTCTAGGCCTTTGGAATTGGCATTACTACCATACTTCTCAAACTGTGTTCCTTTTCCCTTAAATATGTCATGTGCTTTTCTCTAGAATGTAGACATGTCAAGGTCCTAAATTTCACATGTTGGATATTAACATTTTTCTCATAAATTCACACATAAGGAATCATTCATTAATGCCCGGCAGTTCACACATGCACACAGAGCCCAGAGTATTTTTAAATTTATTGGGGTGACATCGGTTAGAGCATTTGACTGCAGAGCCCACATTCTTGGAAGACCATTGAGACCAGTGTGGTAAGCTGCCGATTCCCAGTCCTCTTTCCTAGCTGACTCTGCCCTAAGCTAGTGCTTCTCCAATTTTATGTTCTGATTCAGTAGATTTAGAATAAGGCCCGAGATATTACATTTCTAATTGCTCCCCAAGTGATGCTGATGCTACTGGTCTGTGGCCCACACTGGATTAGCAAAGCCCTAGCTGGCTTCCTCAACATTGGTGAACTTTTTATGGGGCCCCAAAATAGACTACTTTACCTGCCCAGACCCGATTTCCCTTGTTCCATTCCTCTTCCTGGTATTTTTCTCCTTCTTGAACTCTATCCTGACATCTGTCTAGCCAAAATGGTTTTGAATGTTGGATGCTTTTGAGAAATGCACAAAGGAAAACATGATTGGGAGGAATTGCTTTTTGCTCTGTCTTCACTTTCCACGTATCTGTGCTAATCCCTCTCTACAGGTCTTCTTTGGCAATGTGGATTCGTCTGGAATAAAACACAATATTTTTAACCCTCCAATTATTGCTCGGTACATCCGTTTGCACCCAACGCACTACAGCATCCGCAGCACTCTCCGCATGGAGTTGATGGGCTGTGATTTAAACAGTAAGTGCCACGTCATCCCATATCCTTCCATCTCCCAACCATGAATAGAATAATTAATAGTCCTAGTTTTCCAGAGGCTGCGGGTTTTCTCAGCACACAGAACTATTAATGCTAAAACCAGCAGAGTCCTGGGCAAAAAATATGTATTTGTATTGATTTCAGAGAGGAAGAGAGAGGGAGAGAGAGAAAAACATCAATGATGAGAATCATTGATCAGCTGCCTCCTGCACACCCCACACTGGGGATCAAGCCCACAGCCCTGACCTGGAGTCGAACAGTGACCTCCTGGTTCATAAGTCCATGCCCAACCACTGAGCCACGCCAGCCGGGCAGGACTTGGTCATTCTAACCATGGGATGCCCCATGGGCAGCCACCTCCTACTCTACTATTAACAAGGCAAATAAATCAAAGTCAAAGCTGAGCAGATCTGACCAGAAAAAGGGGGGGGCATGTTACCAATAACCGAATCAATGCAAAAGTTAATTCCTGGGAAGTGACGTCATGATGACAGTAGTCCTCAAGTGTCAGTGGAGGCAGGCTAGTGGGACCAGGTCTGCATCTTGTCCTTGTGATTACATTCTCCTTTCGTTTCCTTCAGGCTGCAGCATTCCACTAGGAATGGAAAATAAAACAATATCAGATGCACAGATTACTGCCTCCTCCTACTTAAACAATGTGTTTGCCACCTGGTCTCCTTCACAAGCCCGACTTCACCTCCAGGGGAGGACTAATGCCTGGAGACCCCGGGTAAGAGGCAACAAATGTTCTATTCAGCTGCGGCAGAGTGGGAAGTAGTGGTTGGGAAGGAATGAAGAAAGCCCTTGACTGTTTCCGCAGAGGTATTTATGTCACCTGGTTGTTCCCCAAGAGTGTCAAGGAAGGTTGACTGTGGGCAGAAAAACCCACAGATATTTAGTGGTGTCAAATACACAGCATTCATCGGGGGAAATGATCCCTAACTGGAAATGGAATCTCTAGATGCAGTACTAGGCTAATATCTGTCATAGAATTCTAGCTGAAGTCCAGTTTCACAGAAAGAAGTATCAATAATTAGCTCTTGGGGTCAATGGGGGGAAAGGGGGGACAGATGTAATACTTTCAACAATAAAGAATTATTTTTAAAAAACCAAAAAGAAATAATTAGCTCTTTATGCAGATTTCTCAGTGTCTCAAAGAAAAGGGTCACAGTCATGGAACAGTTCATTGGGCACAATTCTTTTCCAGAACCACCCAGTCTGTGAGTTTTCAACCACTGAATAGCTTTTGGGGATGAATGGAGTTAATGGTGTCTGCTCCTTCGGGGGCTTATTTTATTTTATTTTTAAATATATTTTTATTGATTTCAGGAGGGAAGGGAGAGGGGGAGAGAGAGAAACATCAATGATGAGAGGGAATCATTGATTGGCTGCCTCCTGCACGCCCCACACTGAGGATCAAGCACGCAACCCAAGCATGTGCCCTGACTGGGAATTGATCCGTGACCTCCTGGTTCATAGGTCGGTGCTCAACCGCTGAGCCACACCAGCCAGACTGGGGGCTTACTTTAAACAAAATAGGTTATATAACACATTGCTAAACTTTTAATAAATAGCCAATTTCTATATGGCTCATATATTCATCCATCAAACTTTTACTAAGTATCTATTCAATAGCTGACCCTGGGGATACTGAAATGAATCATGAAGAATGATAGCCCTCAAGTTACTCAGAGTCTAAGAAGGGGGACTGACAAAGAGACAATTAAAACGCAGAGTGTAAGTGCTGTGACGTGGTTAATAAGAAGGAATTCAGGATTTCTGGGAGCAAATCCTGACCAACGGGAAACTAGTCTAACTAGATTATTCCTCAGGTGAATAGTCCAGAAGAGTGGCTGCAAGTGGACTTCCGGAAGACAATGAGAGTCACAGGAATAACCACCCAGGGTGCGAAATCTCTCCTTACCAGCATGTATGTGAAGGAGTTCCTCATCTCCAGCAGTCAAGATGGCCATAACTGGACTCCGTGTCTTCAGAATGGCAAAGTAAAGGTATGCTGCTCTCATAGGAAAGGCACAACCCTGACCTAGAACTTGACATTTAAGAGCACAACAAGGTTGATATAGGATCAAACTTTCAGGATAAACTTCACCGAATATCTGTAGTAATAGGACACCATGAAAAGCATTTGGGGAGGACACAGTGCCTCCAAGCAAGGATGTATAATCCCCAGAAAAGGGCAAAGTAGAGCCCAAAGTTGATTTTCCTCATGAATTTTCATGTCATCCAGGATTGTGGCAAGAAGCAGAGGGGTAAAGAAGAATGACAGGTATTTCCCAAAGGCTTCATGGTGTCTGTATCCCTCATCAGCAACTTAGATTCCCAAGCCTCATTGACCTTGAACTTTAGTGACCCAGACAGTCTTCCTTCTTGATGTTGATTTGCTAGATACGTCAACAAATTATGCTAATTAGAGGACGTAGTGTACTAGTAAAGTCTTGCTATCTCATGAGTTATGAGGGGATGTATAATTCATCTCTATGGTGTTTTTTATCTTCTTTTTCACCAAGAATGATGTGGCCCTTACTAATCTCTCTAGTACAGACTCTTGCCATCTGCTCCTTTGCTCTCTAAGCTCCACCCAGACTAATAAACTCCCAGGCCCCTAAAAATTGCATGTTCCTCTGACAACAGGCTTTTACACATACCGTTTCTTCTACCTGGAACATTTTTTTCTAGGGATTTCCCACTGTCCCTGTCACCTTGCTCATTCTTTAAAAGTCTCAGATAAACATCATCTCCTGCAAGAATTCCCTGGCCTCTCAGGCTGAATGAAAGACTTAGGGTATAGATAATATACATTCTGGAGGATATTCTGGATGAACTTTGAAAACATTATGCCAAGGTAAATAGGCCAGACATAAAAGGGCAAATATTGTATAATTCTACGTACACTAGTAGTCAGGGTTCTCCAGAGAAACAGAACCAATAGGATGTGCATGTGTGTGCCTAGGTACATGGGAGTGTATGTATAAAGAGATTCATTATAAGGAATTGGCTCACAGGATTATGGAGGCTGACAAGTCCCCAGATCTACAGGGTGAATCCGAAAGCTGGACACCCAGGAGAGCCAATGGTCTAGTTCCCATTCGAGTCCGTAAAATCACTTCTAAAAAGAGATTGAAAGTATGTGTGGCTAGAGGCCGCAGATTTGAAAAGGCATTTGTTTCTGGTGTAGGGGGTTACATATCTTGCAGGCTTTGTGATGAACAAAAAGAATTCAAATGGTGAAAATTAAGTGTCCTGTAAAAGCAAAAACAAATCACAACATCACAAGAAACAACCCCCTTACTGGACCATCTAGTAAAGAAATAGATTGCACTTCACTTTATCAACAGTAGGGGGTACTGCTGGACTAAGAAACGTAATAGGTCGCCCAAACCTTTTATAAAACCACCTCTTATTGATAGAACGAGAAAAAATAAGAAATTTCTAAATGGACAGACAATGGCAGATGAGATAAAGGGTATTATTGTTTGTTCTTGCTTTTTCATTCCCTCCTTCCTTGAAAACTCCATTGGCTTTGGGCTTGGCAATAGTACTCATTTGGCTAATGGAATGTAGAAGGTAGACATGACATACACCACTTCCAAACAGAAGCCTTAAATGTGATTGCGTGTTTGACTCATCTTGTGTCTCTGCCTTCTGCCATACGATAAAAATGTGGAAGAAATGACAAAATTAGGAAATCAATTTGCAACTATCAGCATACTATTTAATGCTTGCAGGGAACTTTAAGGGATGCCAAAACCATTGGTTGAAAGCCTGATGGGGAGCTGAATATTTGCATCGTTTCACAGATTGTTGGCCAGGAAAGGGAAATTGCTACCTCTATCACAGAGAGAGCTGGTGGACATCACTTTAACCAAGTGGTCAAACTTCGTGTCAGTAATGGGACAAGCTGGTATTATGTGTCCCCTCATGCGATGTGATGGGAAGGACACATCACCTACTTAGTATTTGTACTGAAAATGTTTAACCAAAACCTAATAATGAGAAAACAGTCACACAAATTTAGAATGTAGGACATTCTATAGCACAATGGTGCTGGACTTTTTTAAAAATGCCAGTGCCCCGCCCTAGCTGGTTTGGCTCAGTGGATAGAGTGTCGGCCTGAGGACTGAAGGGTCCCAGGTTCGATTCTGGTCAAGGGCACATGCCTGGGTTGCGGCCTTGATCCCCAGTGTGGGGCATGCAGGAGGCAGCCAATCAATGATTCTCTCTCAGCATTGATGTTTCTATCTCTCTCTCCCTCTCCTTTCCTCTCTGAAATCAATAAAAATATATATATTTTAAATGCCAATGCCCCAAATTTCCAAAGTAAATTTTCCAAATCCAAATAAGTAAATAAATAAATAAATAAAGTCAATGTCATGAAGGTCAAAAAAAAGACCAGAGAGAAGGAGTCTCTTCTAGATTAAAGAGATATGATAAATAAATGCAATGTGAGATCTTTTACTAAATTCTGGATGAGAAAACTATATGAAGATAACATTGTGATATCAATAATACACTTGTTGGGTATAATAATGTTATCCTGTGGTTATGTAAAAGAATGACCTTAGTTTTGTTTGGTAAATATATTTTTATTGATTTCAGAGAGGAAGGGTGAGGGAGAGAGAGAGAGAGAAACAACAATGATGAGAATCATTGATCAGCTGCCTCCTACACGCCCCCCACTGGGGATCGAGCCTGCAACCCGGGCCTGTGCCCTTGACTGGGAATCAAGCTGTCATCTCCTGGTTCATAGGTCAACACTCGACCACTGAGCCACACCGGCCGGGCAAGAGATAGTATTTAAACCAAGACCCAAAGGATAAAAATAGGATAACAGGAGGGGTAAGGGCATTCTCAACACTGGAAACCACCTATTCAAAGGCTCTCATGATAAAAGGAGTTGGCACTGTCCAGGAACTAAAGACGAAGGCCTCCACAGCAGCAAGCAGGGTGCCCTTAATTCTAGATGTCACACTCACTTCTCCTGGCCATGTTGGGCAAACATAATTTTTTTCCTGCCGGACAACAAATAAATACTGTCATTCCTCTTTCAGGTTTTTCAGGGAAATCAAGACTCCCTCACACCTGTGGTGATTTCGCTAGACCCACCGCTCCTGACACGCTACCTGAGAATTCACCCCCGGAGCTGGGTGAACCACATTGCCCTGAGGCTGGAGATTCTGGGCTGCGAGACGCAGCAGCTGTCCTGAGCAGGACAAGAAATACAGTATGAGCCCTGCTGGCGTGGCTCAATGGTTGAGCGTCAACCTATGAACCCGGAGGTTACAGTTCGATTCCTGGTCAGGGCACATGCCCGTGTTCCAGGCTCGGTCCCCAGTGTGGGACATGCAGGAGGCAGCCGATCAATGATTCTCTCCCATCATTAGTGTTTCTGTCTCTCTTTCTCCCTTCCTCTCTGAAATCAATAAAAATATGTTTGAAAAACAGAAATAAAGTATGAGAACTTTGGCATTTTCAAGGGACTAGTTCTGAGACCATCATAAATTCTCCTGATCCAATGAAACCACTATAACATAGAATTCCTGTCATAAAATGTAGTAAAATACAATTGTTTATATAGTATACAATCATAGGGTTGTCTTAAGTGCCCCTCCCACCGCTATTAACATGGCACCACTAGCATAACCAACCATCCCAGTTTGGCCTGGACTGTCCCAGTTAAAACAAAGCCCTTGCCGGTCCCTTTGCCCCTCCCTCCTGGGCCCAGAGCGTTCCCTAACTCCAGTCCAACATGCCTCTCAGACTTGCCTTCTACCCGTGAGCCTGGCCTCTGGGTTACTTCGTGCCCTGCACTGCCCTTGGCACTATCATTTTCCTGTGTATTGAAAGGATGCAGCCCGGCCAGCGTGGCTCAGTGCTTGAGTGTTGACCTATGAACCAGGAAATGACAGTTCGATTCCTGGTCAGGCACATGCCCGGGTTGCAGGCTCGATCCCCAGTGGGGGGGGCATACAGGAGGCAGCTGATCCATGATTCTCTCTCATCATTAATGTTTCTATCTCCCTCACCCTTCCTCTCTGAAATAAATAAACATTTTTAAATATATTTATTGATTTCAGAGAGGAAGGCAGAGGGGGAGAGAGATAGAAACATCAATGATGAGAGAGAATCATGGATCAGCTGCTTCCTGCACACCCCATACTGATGATTGAGCCCACAATCCGGGCATGTGCCCTTGGCGGGAATCAAACCCAGGACCCTTCAGTCCACAGGCCGACGCTCTATCTACTGAGCCAAACCGGCTAGGGCTAAACATATATTTTTTTAAAAAAGAAACACAGTCCAAGCAGACACTGCCCTGAAGCTTCCCAAAGCACTTGTCATTAAGCCTGCACTTTAGGGGAGTGTTGCAAACTATTTAATTCTTAAGCATTTCTGCAGCTGCTAGAAGACTGGTCTTTCCTTCCATGTAGTCAGGCAAAAAGATATATCTGAGGAAACCCATCTGGAAAGCGTTCTCCTCTGACAAATGAGGCCTCTCCCACAGCCACCACTTCCTCCTCTGTAGAAAAACAATGTATCTAAACTTGGCGGAGGCTTCGAACATTGAAAATAAAACTCTCACTTTTTATTATCCTGGTCAAACATGGAGCAACACATATTTGGGGATCAGATCATCACAGTCTGGAAGTTAAAAGGCAAGTCATTTTGACATCCTGCAAAATGGAGATAATATAAGAACGCCTCCGTTAAAGTCTGGTTTTGCCTCTTTAAAAATGGATATCTTATTTAGCCATCTTGGGGCACTGTTAGTGGTATATTCTTACCTCAGAAACTAGTGTTCTAGCCCAGCCAGCATGGCTCAGTGGTTGAGCGTCGACCTATGAACCAGGAGGTCACGGTTCGATTCCAGTCAAGGGCACATGCCCAGGTTTCAGGCTCAATCAATAAAAAATTATGTATAATGTTCTTTTTAATTATATTTTCTCATGGATGTTTCTAACTCTCTATCCCTCTCCCTTCCTCTCTGTAAGAAATCAATAAAATATATTTCTAAAAAAAAAGAAGAAACTAGTGTTCTAGCCCAGCCAGCATGGCTCAGTGGTTGAGCATCGACCTATGAACCAGGAGGTCACGGTTCGATTCCAGTCAAGGGCACATGCCCAGGTTTCGGGCTCAATCAATAAAAAATTATATATAATGTTCTTTTTAATTATATTTTTATTTATGTCACAGAGGAAGGGAGAGGGAGAGAGAGATAGAAACATCAATGATGAGAGAGAATGATCGACCGGCTGCCTCTTACAGCCCCACCGGGGATTGAATCTGCAACTTGAGCATGAGCCCTTGACCAGAATCACACCCGGGACCCTTCAGTCGACAGGCCGATGCTCTATCCACTGAGCTAAATCAGCTAGGGCTAAAACTAGTGTTCTTAAACTGAGGCTCATAGATGGGATTCAAGAGCCCCCAAATCCGCTGGATTAGGTACATTTATGTATGAATGCATATGTGTGTTTTCTGACAAGAGTGTCCAAGGACTTAAGAAGATTTTTAAGGGCACAGGGCTTTAGAAATATCAGAAAGATGTAGAAATGAAGCCATTTGGTCTTAATTCTAATCAACAAAAAATATAATAGGTTAGGATCACTAATACAAGAATAAACTCTGTGTTTTGTGTACTCACAACTGTAAACGTCCCTTTGCCCCACCCTGCACAATCACAGTCCACAGCTGATCAAAGTGCAAATGATTTATGGTCCTATAAGGTTCTTTTAAGGTTAAAGGTTAACTTACAGGAATCAATAACTCGTTTTGCTTTATAGCCTGGTAGAGAAGTTAACCCCAAAGGTGATATGGTTTTATTTCTGTAAAAGGTTAAACACTCATGTCTAATTTATTAATTTTTTTACGGGTTCCAAAGGGAAATGCTACAGAGTATTTCATCGATTCACAGGGAGCTTTGTGCCGCAAAGTGCATTATAAAAGGCAATCGCTACTCACGCTATCTTTGACGAAATCTGAAATAGTATAATTTACGAAATCTGAAATAGTATAATTTAATAATCTGGTTTTGGCATTCTTTTCCCATTGACTATATATACATCTCTAGTTCTCCAATGTTCTTGGAACCAGCTTTTTTGTCTTCCTGCCGATTTCCTAAATAAGCAGTTAAGACATTGACACATAAACAAATGACCTTTGAGAGTTGTGTTTTACCCTTGAAATAAAAATGTAAATGATGATATTTTTAAAAAGAGAGGCACTGCCCGGTCAGTGTGGCTCAGTGGTTGAGCATCAAACTATGAACCAGGAGGTCACGGTTGGTTCAATTCCTGGTCAGGGCACATGCCCAGGTGGCAGGCTCGATCCCCAATGTGGGGAGTGCAGGAGGCAGCTGATCAATGATTCTCTCATCATTGATGTTTCTATTTCTCTCTCCTCCCTTCCTCTCTGAAATCAATAAAAACATATTTAAAAAAATAAATAAACAAATTGCTGAGTTAGAAAACCATATTAAATTGAACTCACAGTAAAAAGTGATATAGCCAAAATAAAATTTTTAAAATTAGAAATGAAGTCTTGATCCAGAAGAGCTTATATAGAGGGAGACTGAGAGAGCAATGGGGAATTTCTGTCCAACAAGTATAGTTTCAGTTATTCTACATGAATAAGTACTAGAGATCTGCCATACAGCATAGTTTCTATAGGTAATAAGGTATTGTGCCCTTCAAAAGTTGTTGAGGATAGAGCTCATGTTAAGTGTTCTTACCATAAGAAATTGAAAGTCCTGAAGGAAAGATCAGAATGAATGTGGTCAAATAAAACAATATAAAAATTTTTACTTGAGATAAAATAATAATAAAAAATGTGAATCTTCAGATCAAATAGAGTCTCTCAGTACAATGAAGGATTAAGGAAAGACAAGAACAGAACATAGCCAAGAAGCAACTGGATTTACACTAAGAATCCTTCAAAGCCAGGAATTGGTGGCTTTGGTTAACTCTGCAAATGGAAGCACAGGTGGCATGCTAAATTGCTTGAGAAACTGTTGAATTCCAGGGGTCCTCAAACTTTTTAAACAGGGGGCCAGTTCACTGTCCCTCAGACCGTTGGAGGGCCGGACTATAGTTTAAAAAAAAAACTATGAACAAATTCCTATGCACACTGCACATATCTTATTTTGAAGTAAAAAAACAAAATGGGAACAAATACAATATTTGTATTTGCATGTGGCCCGCGGGCCGTAGTTTGAGGACGGCTGAATTAGTTTGAAAAGTAGTTTAATCCTACAGTTTACAATTTTCTATTCAGTTCCACACAGCAACACGAGTAGAAATTGATTCTGTCAAGAGGTTAGGAGAGAGGATCTAAGAAAAGGGAGGCACCAGGCATGATCAAGAAAGAGACTCTTACTCAATTAGCATTCTTTCCTTCCCTACCTCACAGATAGGAGTTACCTTGGAGAAGATGTCATATATGTTAAAAAATGCATTATCTAATTTGTCATTAATCTTCTTTCTTTACAATATTTTGCCGTATGAAAGCTTTATATTTTTTATGCAATGCATTTATCAGTATTTTCATGACTTTTTGGGTTTTATGACATGCTCAGAGTAGCTTCTTCCACATTGATTATAAAACATTCACCCATAATTTATTTCAATATGTATAGGGTTTTACTTTTGTTTAGTTCTTAATCCATCTAGAATTTGTTTTTGTGCATAGGGCTCTCACTTTAATGCATCCAAATGAGTAGCTAATCATTATATTAAATCATCTTTTTTTTCTCTACTGATGTAAAATGCCACCATTTTCATCTATTAAAGTTCCATATATGCACTATTGTAAACTGTAGTAGCTACCATGTGGCAAATAAAATATCTTAGAATTCTTCACGTGTTAAGAGGATACAGCTACTGTAAGGATGGGTTTCAGAATCAACACAGATGTTTATGCATAGACAGAAAAAGATGTCTGTATACCTAACTGTCAAATGGAGAGAGGCTGGGGAGGGTCAAATGCAGTAATGATGTCATAAGGAACGGGGAGACCATTACTAGCTTCTTCCGTTGTACTTTGAAGGCTGAGGTCAAATTCACTGCTTCTTTGGTCAAATTCACTGCTTCTTTGGATCCGTTGGTGGTAAGTCAATTTTCAGGTAAGTGGTTTCCCACCTAACATGGTGGATGAATGTATCAGTTATAAATGTCTTAAGTAACAGAAAACCCAAATTACAGTGACTCAAATAGGGGGTTATCTTTCTCATACAAGCAGTCTCAAGGTAGGCAAATGGACGTGTTGGTTTAGTGACCTGAAGTTGTCAGAGCCAGAATAGATGTCACTTTCTTGACCTTTTTCTCATGTGCATTGCCTCATGGTCACAAGATGGCTGCTCCAACTTCGGCTAACACTTCAACAATGGTCAAGGCAGCACAAAGGAAAAATGGCAGCACCTTCTCTTTGATCAATACAGCAAAAAGTCTTCCCAGAAGCTACCCATCAGATCTCTGTTTGTTTCTTTGTCTCCTCATTTTGGTAGCCTCCCTATGTTTGTTTCTATGTATTAGGTACAGTTGCTACATCTCCCAGGCTTGGTAGAGTGGCCTAATGTAGTAGGTGTTCTATAGGGTCCAATGACACAGCCTCCCTAATCACCCAAGCTGGGCATTGAAGGTGTGTGCCCCAGTGTGGGCTGTGTACACCCTCCTTTTGTAGTTGAGCCTTGATTGCTGTTGGCATGTCAACGGGAGGAATTCACCCCCAGGCCAATCAGCTACAAGGACTGGCTGGGACCATCAGCCAGCAACTCTAACCACCTACCACTGTGGAGGATTCCTGTGCAGGGTCCCATCCCACAGAGAAGGGCTTACTTCAGCGGGGCTCCTGTGCTCACTGAGTCTGCTCCTTGAGTGTGTCACTTGTGGAGGTGGTTGAGTGGTAATGCTCTGGGGCATGGTCTAAAGTTGTCCATTGGGTGCACTGGTTCTGGGGCCTCCTGAGAGGTGCAGGCCAAGGTCAGCCACTGCCTGTGTTCTGCTCAGGACCACCCAGCATGAGCTACAAAGTGATCTGCAGATGGCTGCTGCTTCTGCTGGGCTTGTAGGTACCCAGGAGAGGCCAAGCTGCAAACAAAGGCTGGCTGCTCCTGATGCCAGGGCTGATGCCACTTAGAAAGAAGAAGTAAGAGACACACCGAGGCCAGCAGGTGCTTGCTTGAGAGATTTTTAGGAAATCGGAAGCATGAGCCAAGACAGGCCATTGCTGTGGAAAAGCCACTGGAAACAGCTTGGGTGGTTCCAAAATTGGGGGGGGGCACTTTGGGAATCACTAGGGTGGGGAAAACAGTGTGAGCCCAGTTAATGGAGTCTCAGATGCCAGCTCTGTGGGGGGAGGGCTCATCTAAGGAACAATGGCCTCTGCCAGCACTTCTCTCTGAGAGAAAGCTGCCCCCGCCCCCCCGCAGGTCTTACCCTGATGCCAGACAATTCAGTTTCTCCCCATATGTCTGTGGTGCCTCTCAAGCTTCTGCCCAACTCTGGAGCTCAGAGGGAGTGAGTCTGAGTTGTTCAGTGTGTAGCCGTTTAAGAGGAACTGCCTGGCCCTACCTGGTTTGGCTCAGTGGATAGAGCGTCAGCCTGCGGACTGGAGGGTCCCGGATTCAATTCCAGTCAAGGGCACATGCCTGGGTTGCAGGCTTGGTCCCCAGTAGAGGGCATGCAGGAGGCAGCGGATCAATGATTCTCTCTCATCCTTGATGTTTCTATCTCTCCCATCCTCTCTGAAATCAATAAAACAGATATTTTTAACAAAACTAACCCATCATTTTGTAACTTTTCAGACAAAGCCGCCTTGGAAAGAGCCAAGGAAAAACACCCATCTTTCCTTGGCTGAGCGAGTGCAGCTCAGCGGCCCTTGGGAGAATCCATGAACCTCCCGAAGTTGCTGATCTTTGGATTTCTGCTGTGCTCTCTAACTTGCTTCTTGAAACCTCTGGTTTCCTCTTCGTCATCTTTAACTGCTTATAGACTACAAAAGGAGGAAAGATCAAAACCCCTCTCAAGGGGTTTGTCTGTTGTTAGAATGAATGTTCCTGTCTTCCTAAGACATAACATGCATGCCTCAGGTCAGTATTTAAAAGTAATGTTCACTTCCTAAAGAAAACACCCACTATCTCGAGCCTTACCTTAATCAGTAGACTCCCTCTAAAGCTCCTTCTGCCAGTTGCCCTGGCCCCTTCCCCCTTTGGATGCTGGTGGCCTTCTCCTTTCTCTTTCTGGGACACTCACTACCCTCATTCAGCCTCCTGCAGAACTCCCAAACATACTGTGGGCAACAACATGCTCCTTATTCAGTCATGCTCCTCTTTCACAAAGTACCCCATTTACTCACCAAGACCTCAAACCAGCCCCTAAGATGTCTAGGGCAGAGATTATTGTTCCTATTTGACTCATAAGGAGGCAAAGATTATATCCATCTGTGGCTACCTTTTTAAAAATATATATTTTTATTGATTTCAGAGAGGAAGGGAGAGAGAGAGAGAGAGAGAGAGAGAGAGAGAGAGAGAGAGACATCAATAATGAGAGAGAATCATAGATCAGCTGCCTTCTGCACGTCCCCTATTGGGGATCGAGCCCACAGCCCGGGCATGTGCCTTTGACCAGAATCGAACCTGGGACCCTTAAGTTGGCAGGCTGACGCTCTATCCACTGAGCCAAACCGGCTAGGGCTGTGGATACTTTTTAAATTATTATTTTTATTTTGAATGTGGACCCCTTGAACATCTTAGAGGCAGCAAAGCAAAATAGATAAGGATATGGGCTCTGGCCAACTGTAAGAGCATTATACCTGGGACAACTATTTGAACCTGAATCAGGGTTGAAATCACAGCTTCTTCATTTACGTACTTGACCTCTCCTCAATGAAACTCCATGCTCTTTCTGCAGAAAACTACAGGTCCTGGATGAGCAACTTCAAGGGTTACTTGCGGGATCTCATCAAAAGCTCCCTACCTCCGGCGGCCATTTTTGCCTTTCTTGTGAGCACCGTGCTAATGGGAACCCTTTGCTGCCTCACGTAAGCTGCTGTGGGATGAGGGGAGGGAGGAGAGAGGGAACCCCAGGAAGAGGCAAGAACATCCAGATTCCACACCAGCCTGCACATTGGTAACTCGGGGGAAATGATAAGGAATGTGATTCTGAAACCAAGGTGTGGTGTTTGAGTCCAAGTTCGTTGTCTTGCAAAACTGAAGATGGATTTGTAGACAAAAAATGGTTAGCGGAAGCAAAGTTTATTGAGAGAAGCCAGTCCTGGAAAAAGGTGCAGCTGGGGTTCCAGGAGCAGGCCAGGGTCCAGAGCTTCTGTTCCATGTTGCAATTGGGTGTAGTTCAGCATCCAAGCGAATTAAAGTCCATTAGTCCATGTGTAGAGTCCCACATGGCCATAAGCAGAGAGAGAAAGAGAGAGAGAGAGAGAGAGAGAGAGAGAGAAAGAGAGAGAGAGAGAGTTTCTTTTTCTAGGGGTAGATACATGCCTTGCTAGCTCCTGATTAGTCCTTTCAAAGAATTCTGCTTAGTAACATTCTTGTGATTGGTTATACGCCTCACTGCCTTGTGATTGGTTGTCTGCAAGCTGCTGGTCTTAGCAATATCTATACATTTTAAAGCTTACGTCTGCAAGCACCCTTCTTTCCCCGTCCAGCTGGGTTTCTTTAGTAACTTCTGCATGCTGGTTTCCCCAGGTTTCTCCTGTTTCCGCCGCCCCCCATGGTCCCCTCACTGTATACCTAGCCCTTCCATCTCCTCAATTATGGGAACAAAACTCTGAAAGGCCATGTGCCCCCTTTTCAAAAGCTTCCCCTACTTTCTTTTTTTACTCCAACCTGCTCTTTCCATTACCAGCAACTTACAGGTGACCTTTAATAACCAGTGTTTGCAACTGATCTTTTTTTTTTTTTTACTAACTTTATTAACTCTTAATTATCCTTCCCTTTGGTTTAGGAACTATACATGGAAAATATATAATTAACTGTTTTTTCAATTGCCTGAAAATTTACCAAAATATTTATCTACATCATCAATTTTCAACCAGTGTGCTGCAAGAATTTTTAAAATATGCAATACTAGGCTATTTACTCAGGGGCACTGACCTCTTTTCTCTTAGATTTTCAAATTTAAAAATGACTACAGCCAACACAATAGCTGTCCAGTGTGAATGAATCAAAATTATACCTATTTTTGTCAGAGAGGCATAAAGTTTAATATTATTTGGTGTGCCACAGAACTTTAGTCGTTTGGTCATGCCACAAGTTGAAAAAGGTTGAAAATTGCTGCTCTACATAAGTCACATGAAGCCAAAGAGATTCCTGAAATAGAAACAATATAGTTACAGAGAGTTAGAAAAGCCTAAATTTCATTACTTCAGTTCGGACTTATCAAGAGATACCTACCTGACTGTCTCTGTCCTGGTTGTTAGAGAGACAGAGAAATAATGACAAAGCTGCTGGGTCAGTGCTATGGTGGGGAAGCCTATGAAAGAGTGTGATGGGATTATAGAAGGCTTTGTGTGGTAAAGGGCTGTTCAAACTTTACAATCTAATAAAGTAGCTGAGGGCAAAGATTAGATTGAGGGTGTGGCGTCTCCACCTATGACTCCTAAGAACCCCAAAATGATCACAGGATCAAGAACTATGTCTAAGCCTGGCCAGTGTGGCTCACCAGTTGAGCAATGACCTATGAACCAGGAGGTCACAGTTCGATTCCTGGTCAGGGCTCGATCCCCAGTGGGGGGCGTGCAGGAAGCAGCCAATCAATGATTCTCTCTCATCATTGATATTTCTCTCTTGTCATTGATGTTTCTCTCTCTCTCTCTGCCTCTCCCTTCCTCCCTGACATATACATATATATATATATATATATATATCCTATATAATAAAAGGCTAATATGCAAATCGACCAAATAGCGGAACAATCGGTCACTATGACACACACTGACCACCAGGGGGCAGACGCTCAATGCAAGAGCTGCCCCCTGGTGGTCGGTGTCCTCCCCAAGGGGGAGCATTGTTTACCCCCAACCCGGGTTCACCAGTGGCGAGTGCAGCAGCGGGGGCAAAACCCTTTCCCCCCTCCCGGGCAGGCCTAAAAATTTTTGAGGGCGGGTTTAGGCCCACTCCCCAAGGACATCCCCCGGGGGCTTCTGGACTGCAAGGGGGCACAGGCCGGGCTGACCCCCCCCCCCCCCCCCCGCCAGTGCACTGGGCCTCTAGCATATATATATATACTAATAAAAGAGTATGTATATATATATATAAGCATATATATATACTAATAAAAGAGAAACATGCAAATTGGTGTCACTCTGCTACGCCCACCAGCCAATCAGAGCAACTATACAAATTAACCCAACAAAGATGACGGTTAATTTGCATACGCAGCTGCGGAGCGAAGACTGAAGAGGCTTGGCTTCTCTGCTGCGGCTGGACCAAAGGCCTGGGTCCCAGGTGCCGGAGGAAAACCGGTGCCGGCAGCCAGGGGAAGGAAGGCCTATTGTGCGAATCTCCATGCAATGGGCTTCTAGTATATATCTATATATATACGTATATATATGTATATGTATGAACTATGTCTAGGAAACAACCTTGGGTATGGTTACTGGCACATAGAACTGATTTGAGCCAAATAGAAGTCAGCTAAGTTTTTGAGAGAAGCTTATTGCTAAAGAAACCACGAACCAAAACAAAATAAGCTACTCATTGTCTGAGCCTTAGAACAGTATTTGGACACAGGCTCCCCATCACTGACCTCAGATGCAGCCATAGAGAATAATGGACAGGAAGGGCAATGGGCCAGGGAGCTCTCCTATAAAGCAAGGTGCTGGCCTAATCAATGTCTGCCCAGCAGGATTCCACAATTAGTACAGAGAAGTGACTGCTGTGTCTCCCATTTTTCCTCTTTTCATATGGGAAGGTTGATGGTGCCTATCCTCTTCCTGCTCCATTGTTATATGTGGGGTGTGGCGATCGGGGGCAGATAACTTGTTTCAGTTCATAGGCCACTTAACCAAGAAGAACTAGACCCAGACTTGAGAGAAGCAAGCATCACACAGATACTCTGGACTTTGAGCTGGACAAGGTTAGGACCTGATTTGAGTCTTGGGGAAATGTTGTGCCACAAGTCAGGTGTTCTGGAAGCGGACAGTGAGCTAGGACTTTGGTACACAGGGTATTATCAGTAATCAATGCCTGTGGAGGGTAGCAGGGGGGAGGGGGGAGGAGAAGTTCAACTGCCTTGCAAGTTCAATGAAGCCTTGGTTGACCCCATCAGAGCTGCCCACATTAGCCTGAAATAGCTGGGCCCGTACAACCTCACCTCAATGCGTTCATGGATGTGGGAAGTGTAGGCAGCTCTTGACAGCTGAGGCAAACCTTGAAATTGCTAACAGCTAGCAGCTGAGTATTGATTGACAGCACTCTCGGCAGCTGGAAAAACCAGTCGTTTCCAAGGGGGGAGTCTGGGTGGCATGGTTCCGTGCGCACTACAGGGCGGCTGCGTTCTGTGTATGGAAGGAAGAGTGAAACAGGTATCGGTGGTCAGGAAGACAGACTGTGACGGAGATGGGCTATACGTCCACCAGCCCTATTCCTTCCTCGTAAACGCAGAGGAAGACTGCATTTCCCAGCTAAAGAAGCCAGGACTCAAGTTGTAGGTGGAGGGAACAGCGCCAGGTGTCTGACCTGTGGGGTCAGACCAACTCTGGGTTCAGCAACCTTGGTTCTTGGGTTCTGGCTAGGAAGGAATTCAGAGCAAGATCCAAACTGTAAGAGAACGTTTCTTTGGTAAATTATAGAGGCAGAATAGTAATTCCTAGATGAAATGGGCTTAGGAAATGAGGTATGAAGGTTTAAAAAAAAGGGTCTTTGGAGCTTGGGAATGAGAAAACTAAAGGTAACTTGCCTGGGGCAGGGAGAGGGAGGGAGAAGGGAAAGGGAAAGGCCTGAGTATGCTCCTGGGAGGGAGAGCACACTGGGTCCTCCATCCTAAGGGTTTAAGGGTGGAGAGTTTAGGGGAGGTCCCAGGGGAAGACCCCATAGAATATGCAGCAGCTTTCCAGGTGTGTCCTTGCAGGCTGTGGTCCCCACTGATTGATGGGCCGGCACCAGGGCAGGGGGCCATCATTCCAGGCGGCTGGTCCTGAGGTCAGCCTGTGGCTGGTTTGGGCGCTTTTCTGGGCCTGGAGCTGAAATTCAACTGAGGCCTGATGTCATCTCTAGGGAGGAAAGGCCAGGGGCTCCAAACCTCATGACCAGCGATCTGCTAAGGGAGGGAAGGTCACCCTGGGGCGAGGTCCCACCCCACCATTGATTGTCCATTGCTGGGCACCTGGGGCTCTCCACCCTGGTGGTCTTCTGTACCTGGCCCATCGTCCTGGCTCTGAGCATATCTGTCTAACTGCCCACAACAAAGTCAAGACATATCTGATTCTGTACCTTTTAAGTCATGTTACTGAAACTATGGCCAGCCGGCCAGCTGCATGAGAAACATCTGAAGGATTGGTTAAAATGCACATCCAGAGGCACTTCTGTGAAGATAAAGCAGGCAACGACCAGGAGAAATACTTTCTCCTTTGAAGTAAATGGCTCAGCCTGAGGAGAAAACCCAATGAGCCCCCACGGGGAACAAGCTGCCTAGTGAAAGGCACGTCAGGGCAGTGAGGGTATGAGGGCAGGCCAGATAGAGCAAAACCAAAGCAGATATTGAGGAAAAGTTGGAGGTTTGGAATGCAGGATCAAAAAAGCCGGTACTATGAACTAGAGATAAACAAAGACTTTAATGGAAGTAAGATCAGAGAGAAAATGACAGATGCAGGAGACAATTTCTTTGTAGAGGAAAAGCAAAATAATACAACAGAAAAGAATACTCCAAGGTCTAATTTTTTTAAAATGTTGCAGAAATAAAGGAAGATTTGAGTCTATGGTTATAATGAGCACATCAAGTCACAGGAACAATTGGCACTTGGCACTGGGGCATGTGGTAGACTCTCATAGTACTTGTTGATTTTTTTTAAATCCTCACCTGAGGATATTTCTTCCGTTGATTTTTTTTAGAGTGGAGGGGAGGGAGCAGGGGGTATATGGAGAGAGAGAGAGAGAGAGAGAGAGAGAGATGTGAGAGAGACACATTGATTGGTTGCCTCCCACATGCACCCCGATGGGGCCTGGGGATTGAGCCTGCAACCAAGGTACTTGCCCTTGACCAGGAATCCAATCCTCCAGCCTTTGGTCTGTGGGCCGACACTCTAACCACTGAGCAACCGGCCAGAGCTGATTTTTGTATTAATACATTTCACAGCAAGGATTGCAAACAGTTTGTCTGTGCTTCTTTAGTGTGTGCACTTTTCCCAGAAGTACTGCAGTACTGGGTTAATGTGCAGAGTGGATGGAGCAAGCTCTCTTCCATCTCCCTGCTCCAAAAATACATTTAAGATATTGTCCTCGGCTAGAGGACGTACCAGATAGTAAACTGATAAGAACAAATACTACACTTGATCTTAGCCAAAAGGCCAGGAAGCAATCTCTCTGTGCCTCTTTTTAAAAATATATATTTTTATTGATTTCAGAGAGGGAGAGAGAGAGAGAGAGGAACATCAATGATGAGAGAGAATCATGGATCGGCTGCCTCCTGCATGCCCCACACTGGGGATCAAGCCTGCAACCCGGGCATGTGCCCTGACCAGGAATCAAACCTTTGACCTCCTGGTTCATGGGTCAGAGCTCAACCACTGAGCAACACTGGCTGGGCCTAGACATAGTTTTTGATCCTGTGCCTCTAATACACCATTAGCTGCAGCTGTAATGAAGACTTAATCCAGCTTCTGGTTAGCTGAGGAAATCCACATGGAAGCCTCTGGAACTCCAGTGCCAATCAGGGGGGCTGGCAGGCACTACCAAGTATGCAAAGATACATATATAAGGACTTTTTAGTACTGTTTGCAATAGTGAAAAGCTAGAAACAAATGTCCACTGGTTGGTTAAGAAAGCATTGAATATTCATACAATGAGTACTATACAGTAACCAAAACATTGTTGTAGAAGGACAATTACATGGAATCATATTCATGAAACATTGTTGAGTGGAAAAAAGCAGATTATAACAGAGGATATATCATTTAATCCGATGTGTTACTTAAAACCATATGTACAGGGGGAAAGCCTTTAAGGACCAAATCAAATTATTAGACACTAGAGGCCCTATGCATGAAATTCGTGCACCGGTAGGGTCCCTAGGCCTGGCCTGCTATCAGGGCCAATCTGATTCCCCACCTTCCCACCTCCTTGCCTCCTCCTTCCCTCACTCCCTCAGTGCCCGCTGTTGCTGCTGATTGCCTGCCATGTTCTGTGCCACCCCCTGGTGGTCAGCACACATCATAGTGAGCAATCGGACTAGTTTTCCTGGTCGAACACCTGAGGGGACACTTCGCATATTAGCCTTTTATATATATAGATGGGTTATCTCCTTGTAGTAGTGACTAGATGGTTTTAATTATTATTACTACTGTTGTTATTTAATTTCATGTTTAGTGTTGTCCATCTGCACTTTCTAATCTTTCCACAACAAACTGTATTGTTTGATTAGTATTTTTTTATTTTTAAAAATATATTTTTATTGATTTCAGAGAGGAATGAAGAGGGAGAGAGAGAGAGAAAAACATCAATGATGAGAGAGAACCATTGATCTGCTGCCTCCTGCACACCCCCCACTGGGGATCGAGCCCAAAACCTGGGCATGTGCCCTGACCAGGAATCGAACCATGGCCTCCTGGTTCATAGGTCAACGTTCAACCACTAAGCCAAGCCGGCAGGGCGATTAGTGTGTTTTTTAAAAGATACTTTAAAAACAAAAGAAGAAAAACTATCTGACCATACTTCTACTTCCACCTCCAATCCTACCTATACCAGAAACATTTTCTCAAGTCACCAAAGCATTTGGGTCAAATCAAAGCATTTGGTTCATATTAAAAGAAGAAGCTGTCTAATTTCCTATCTTGGAAAAGACGATGTAACTGTGCAGACCAGGAGAGTGGAGAAGAGTTTAAACTTTGTTCAGCATTCATTATTTTCTCTTTTTTCCCGCAGCATTCTTGTGGGTGAACCAAACCAATAAAGTCCTAGAAGATTCAATTGGGCAAGCATGGAGTTTAGTTGGCTGGATTTCAAGAAAGTGCAGTGTGCTCTTTGCTTATAATGAGAACGTATGTATCAATTTCAAAGAAAACATAAAAAAAAATAAATTGTATTTATCTTGCACTATTTTTGTCTTATTTTCCCCTTTAAAACATGCAATTGAAAAATGGGAATACACTTATTACTGCCTTGATTATAAAAGTAACGCATGCTTGTTGCAAAATTTTTTTTCATAAAATACAAAAAGAAGGAAAAGTATCCATAATCCTAGAGCCCGGAAATAAACATTGTTAACATTTTGGTGTGTCTCTTTTCAAATCTTTTTATGCTCATAGTACCAGTTTCCCAAAATCTTTTCTAGGAAACAATACTTCTGTTTTAATAAAAACGTTATGAGACAATAGGGGCTCTGAGGTCAATTAAGTTTTTTAAATATATTTTTTATTGATTTCAGAGAGGAAGGGAGAGGGAGAGAGAAACATCAATGATGAGAGAGAATCATTGATGAGCTGCCTCCTGCACACCCCCCACTGGGAATCAAACCCACAACCTGGGCATGTGCCCTTGACCAGAATCGAACCTGGGATCCTTCAGTCCTCAGGCCAACTCTCTACCCACTGAGCCAAACCAGCCAGGGCTCAATTAAGTTTTGAGAGATGCTGGATTAACCAAATGTAAGCATGTTTCTTTTTTCTTCTTTTTCAATTGAATGTATTGGGGTGACATTGGTTGATAAAATTATATGGGTTTCAGGTGTACACTTCTATAATACATCATCTGTATATTGTATGATGTGCTCACCACCCCAAGTCAAGTCTACTTCCATCACTATTTATCCCTCCTTTACCCTACTCTACTTCCCCCACCCCCTCTGGTAATCACCATACTGCTGTCTGTGTGTATGAGGCTCCCCCAACTCCCTCCCCTCTGATAGCTGTCAGTCTGTTTTCTGTATCTGTGAGTCTGTTTCCATGTTGTTTGTTTCTTTGTTATAGGACCTTTAAAGGCAAATATGAATCTCCAGCAGAGGGTATAACGTGCAGAAATTGGAACACGGGATTGAGAAATGCTGACACACACACACAGTCACAGAAACTCGTGGATAATTTTTCTTTTACTAAATAGCACACAGTGCATGCTATTTTGTAGCTTACTTTTTTCTTCACTGTGACATATCATGGATATCTTTCCCTATCAATAAATAAGTGTCTACATAATTTTTTTCCATATATTTTCCTGACCGGGAATCGAGCCATGACCTCCTGGTTCGTAGGTCGATGCTCAACCACTGAGCCACGCTGGCTGGGCCATCATGGCTCTTGATTGCATTATTTTCTCTTGTGCTTGATTTACTCTCAGGTTAGCACAGAAGTCTCCTCGTCCTTCAGCAGTGTGTGACTGCATTTAAGGTTTTTCTATGTTTTCACTATCTATTTATATAAAAACCCTGGATGTAGCGCGTCACGACCGAGGCTCGACCAACTGCAGGGGTCGTCTTGGCAACGGCTGTGCCCTCCTCGAGCTGTTTCCTGGAGCTGTTTCCCTTGAGGGCGAGGTTTGAGGCAGGAACCGGCCCTTGGAGTGTGGACGCATTGAGTCCTGGGTCCTCTTAGCAACAGCTGCACCCTCCCTGAGCTGTTTCCCTTGAGGGCGAGGTTTGAGGCAGGAACCGGCCTTCAAAGCCATAGACAGATTACTAAGAGAAATTATGAATTTGAATGTTGTATTTGGTGGGAAAATTCTCCTTGTCTATATATATATATAAAAGGCTAATATGCTAAGTGTCCAACAGTCTGACTGGTCACTATGATGCACACTGACCACGAGGGGGCAAATGCTCAACGCAGGAGCTGCCAACCTGCAGTGGCTTAGCAGCAGCGATTCTCGGGTGACGCACCCCGAAACCAGAGAGGAGGAAGCTGATTCCTTGCGGGGCAGCGCGATTCCACCTTCAGCCATGGGTTATGTTGTTGCTGGGGCACTGTCGCCCCGAATCTGGTTTACTGCACACATGTGTCTGCATTCCACACCTTGTACCACAGCAACTTTGCACAGTTCCCTCTCGCACTCTGGGACCTCTCAGGGGATGTTGGAGAGCCAGTTTCAGCCCCATCCCCACAGGCCAGGCTGAGTGATCCCACCTGCTAGAGGGACCCCGGCTCACTCCACAGATGCCCTTCGAGCAACAGTGCCACCCCAGGTGCAGCCAGCCAGGGAGGGACTGCAGGAGGTTGGCTCCAGGGCATGTCTGGCCCATCTGGCTCAGTCCCACCCCGCCAGCCACCTTCTAATTAATTTCCTTTCAATGTGCACGAATCCGTGCACCGGGTCACTAGTTATAAATATAATGCAGGTAATGGTTTTATAAATTATTCACTGGCTTTTCTCTTTTGCAGTTCTGCGTTTGAAATCATTCACTCAGTGGACATTTATTGAACACCTACTGTGAGCCTGGCACTATTCCAGGCAGGTAGCAAAACAGACACTCATCCTGGCTCCTGTGGAGCACCCCTGCCCCTGCCAGTGGAGGATTCAGATTATTCAAAGGCAACAACAGGTGTTCCAGGCAGAAGGTGCAGCAGGGCACAGGCACTGGACTGAGAGAGCACCCCTGGTATGTTCAAATAGCAGCAAAGAAACCAGAGTCAGCCCCGCTGGCGTGGCTCAGTGGTTGAGCATCGACCTATGAACCAGGAGGTCATGGTTCAATTTCTGGTCAGGGCACATGGCCGGTTTGTGGGCTCAATCCTCAGTGTGTGGCATGTAGGAGGCAGCCAATCAATGATTTTCTCTCATCATTGGTGTTTCTATCTCTCTCTCCCTCTCCCTTCCTCTCTGAAATCAATTTTAAAAATATATTTAAAAAAACAACAACAGAAGAGCTGCATTTTTCTGAACATCCAAGTTCAGGGTTAGTAGCATTTGGGACTCTGCTACACAAACAATTTGGTGAGCATCCTTACACACATCTTTATAGTCTTTATATGTTGTCCAAGTTCCTTAAGTTGCTGAATGTGGAATTGTTGTGTTATAGGCTATGACCATTTTATGGTTTTTTATATTGTTCCACAGAATAGTTGTAGCAATTTACACTCCAAGCTCATAACCCTCTCTCCTCCCACTGTCCTGTACATTGTGTTATTTCATCAGTTTCCTTTATATTTTTGGCCATTATGTTTGGCAATATCTATTTAATTTTGCCTGTACTTTTTAAATTCTTGAGGTACCCTGAGGCTCAATGCCCCAGAATTTTCTAACTTTTTTTTCAAAATATATTTGTATTGATTTCAGAGCGAATGGGAGAGGGAGAGAGAGATAGAAGCATCAATGCTGAGAGAGAATCATTGATTGGCTGCCTCCTGCACGCCCCACACTGGGCATGGAGCTCACAACCCAGGCATGTGCCCTGACCGGGAGTCGAACTGTGACTTCCTGGTTCATAGGTCAATGCTCAACCACTGAGCCACACCAGCTGGGCTTCACTTCTTTTTTTGAAGTATAGTGTGCCTACAGAAAAGAGCACAGATAAGTTTTCAACTCTAAGAATGATCACAAAGTAAACAAATTGATTGGCCTCCCCGCTTTGCATCACCAGCTCCTCCTCACCCCTCATGTAACCACTGACCTGTCTTCCAGCATAATAGCCTTGCTTGTTTTTAAACTTCATAAAAACTAAATCATATGTATGCATTCTGTGATTTTCTCCTTTTACTTGCTTTATGTCTTAAGATCCATCATGTTGGTGCTTGCAGTAGTAGTTAGCCCGTTTTCATCCATTCTGTGTAACATCCTATTATATGAAAAGGGCTCTACTTACTTAAACCATCAACTGTAGAAGGACATGTGTATGGTTTCGGGGTTTTACCTAATTGAAATAAAGCTTCTATAAATATTATTGCAGGTCTTGTGGGCCACATATGCAAGAATTTCTCTAAAGAATACACCCAGTGATTGACTTGCCGGGTCAAAGGGTCAGTGCACACTTCACTTCATTATACAATGCCAGCTTCCCAAAGCGATTGAACCAATTTATACTCCTACCAGCAAGCGGGAGTGTAATGTTCTCATTATCCCACTTCCTCAAGAACATGCAATATCATCCGTTTTTCAATTTTTGCCAATCTTATGGATGAGAAGGTGTATCTTATTATTTTTTACTTTGCGTTTCCCCTGATAACTGATGAGATTAACGGCCTTTTTAAAAGGTTTTATTGATTTCAGAGAGCAAGGGAGAGGGATAGGGAGATAAAAACATCAATGGTGACAGAATCATCGATCGGCTGCCTCCTGTACATCCCCTACTGGTGATCAAGCCCGCAACCCAGATATGTGCCCTGACTGGGAATGGAACCATGACTGCCTGGTTATGGGTCGATGCTCAGTCACTAAGCCATGCCATCTGGGCAATTAAAGATCTTTTTCACGTATTTATGGATCATTTGTCTTTCTCTTTTATGAAATTACTATTAATGTATTTTGCCCATTTTTCTGAATTGTGGTTTCATTTATTCCTTATTTATCAGCAGGAATTCTTTATATATTCTGTATACTAATGCTTTGTAGGCTATAGACATGGAAAATATCTTCTCCCAGTTTGAGGATGATATTTTCACTCTCGATGTGATGTATTTTGATGAGTAGAAGTACTTGTTTTAATGTAGTCGAATTTGGCAATCATTTTTCTCTGTTAGTGTATTTGATGTCTATTTAAGAAACCCTTTTCTGCACCCCACCCCCCAAAAAAGGAAACACTTTTCTACCCCCAAATCTCAAGTCTCCCATATTGTCTTCTAAAAGCTTTGTAGGTTTGCCTCTCATATTTAAGTCCTTCAGCTACTTGGAATTAATTTTTGTACGGTGTGAGGTAGAGTCCAATTTTATTGTTTTCAATCTTGTAAGAAGCTAGCCTTTTCCACTCCTGAACTTTGAACTGAACGTCTGTGCCTAAGGGCAATTCTAAGAATTGAAAAAAGCAGGTACTTGCAATAAATTCCAAGAAGCAATAAATTCCAAGGAGCAAGATCAGATTCTGAGAAGTGAGCACCTTGAACTGGAACTGGCTGACCA